AAAAAAAAAACAAAACAAAAGCAGTAGGGGAAAAAAATGGAAAAAATTCCCGGAAAAAAATTGAAAAAATTCCCGGGAAAAATATCCACCCTTTCCTCTGGGTGGTTCGAAGGAAAGCCTCCTGTTACTTCCTAGGCTAGTGGCGAGCTGGCCGAACTGCAGCTTGACAGACAGATTGTTGAGTCATTCCGTTGGTACTTACATCTACTCCATCTACAAACTCGACTCTACTCGTGCTTGCTTGTATTGTCCTGGCTTGCACGTCAGTGTCCAGGAAAGATCTTGTGACGCAGTCAGAGATCAGAGTCAAGGCGCTTTCTGCTACCATTGAGCTGAAAGAGAGCGAACCTTGCAGTGGATGTGTGCTAGTTTGTGACAAGAGGGCAAGGGGGCTGCGCAATGTCCACTGGTACACTTTGTTTTGACATGTTTGGTCTTGGTTGCTGAAAGCCCAACACAAACACCACCTGTGCTGGATAGACTTCTTGTTTTTGCTTCCATTCTTTACTTGGGAACACACTCACGGAGGCTCCACAGTCGCAAAGGTCTGTAACACCAACAAAATCAACCGAAGGTGCAAGCAACACTGAACTTTCACATTAACTCGTTCGACAGACCAGAACGATCAACAGCCCTGTGCTCACAAGCAGAATTATATACATGCCAAGCAGCCGGCTGAGGAAATGAGGATGCTCTCACAAGAGCTTCTGCAGAAAGGCATGGAAGTGGAGGACTATTTGGGCCAATCAATCAGCATGAAGGACCGGACCTTCTGAAACCGCCAAGGGCCTCCCTTACTTAGACGCTTACATAATTCAACATTACAGAAATATACTGTATTAATGAATAGATGCATTTAATGTATATTGCACCTATACGAAGATTCTGTTGAGATTCTGGGTGTTAGGAGCGGTTGCAAGAGTTTGAGCCTCTTGGCAGTTGACGTGGTCCGCATTCTTTTTCAATTTTGTTTGCTCAATTCGGAATTGCATCTTCCACTTATGCAACTGCTATGCCCAGGTTGCAGGTGAAAACGTTGGACAAAGAGCTTGGCTCATGCAGATTGGAGAAGGACCTGCGCTTGCTAGCAGCCCCATGTTTTCTTCCGTTTTGGCACAGCGCGGGCACTCGTATTTCCCACAAAGCATTTTCCACAGCTATGGACCGCGAGGAGTCAGCAGCCAAGCAGCTTGCATTTACAGAAGAGCTGGCAACAGAGATGAAATCGCAAAACAAGGTTGCGAGCCATGGAGGCACTGGCAGCTTTGTGGCTCCGACGTGTTTCCAACACTGCCATGTTGATCTTGTGTTTGTGTTGGGTTCTGGGTGTGGATTCCACAGAATTAAGCAATCAATGCTCCGGGACCTGCAGACTTTAGTCAATTGTCTTGTGACGGTGGGTTTGAATGAGCACACGTTGTTGGTAACATCGGAATCCCTTGGTGGTGTGCCCTACCACACAAGACTGGGTATATATGTATCGGTGTACGTATATATATATACATACATCAGTCGCCCTCAGGTTATTTTCTAGTGTGCAGTCATCAATCTCGCAACTGTATTGGGCGGTCTCACCTTGAGCCTTGAGATGGCAATGGACACCAGGTATGGGCAAATCAAAACAGCCCTACAAACCTAAATCAGTCAAGATTCAGACGAACACCTACCGGCTTGATTCTTTTCAATGCCAATTGGTGTGGGTTTGGCGGTTTCTGTTTGAGCAACCCAGCCCAAGGAAGCACACTTTCATGGCGTGCTGGAAGTGCGGTTTGACATATTTTGGGCTTTGCATGAACCATGTCACCAGCTGAGGACCGAGCAGCTCTCGAAATGTCGGCAGGCCAAGCGAGTTGCTTTTTAGCCAACTCGTTGCATTTTTGATCAGATTTGAGCTTTTTGCAGGAGACAGCCTTATTGGATAGATGCCGCCCACTCAGCTGATGGCACAGGAGTTGAAGCCATCGCTATATATACACATGCACTGTTGTTTGCATGTACAGCCCATAAATACTCCGCTAGGATACTGCAGACACGTGACTTACGACATGTTTTGGCTCAAGGTGAAAAGGCGTTCCGAAACGTCGAAACCTCGTTTTCATGGTAGCGCACGAGTCCGGTGAAAGTGACAGGGACAAAGCGCTGCGCATAAAGGAAGAGAGACACAAGAAAGTTGAGAGCTCCGAGGAGGAGGAGCTGGAACCATCGGGAGCGGCAGCTTCTGCCGCCCCGGTTGGGACAGGAGAAGAAGGACAAGTAAAAGAGGAGGAGGAGAACAAGCCTTTGCCAGCCACAGAAGCGGCGGATCAAGCCGCAAGTACCACTCCAGCGGTCGAGAAGACCGCAGAAACTAAGGAAGAGGAGGAAAAGAAAGAAGGAGTGGAAGGACCAGGAGAGGAAGAAGAACCTGAACAAGATCCAACAGTTGAGCCAGGGGCTGAAGCGGCTGGTTCAGCCGCACAGCCACCACCTGGCCGAGTTATCGCCGATTTCATCACCTCCCCAGAAGGTGTCAAGACTGGTTGGGAAGTTCGTGGCACACGTACCAAATACACCCCAGCCAAGGTCGATCCCAACGCACCGTGGAGGAAGCAGGCGAAGAAGCAGATTTGGGGCCAAGTTAAGAAGCACCCAGAACCAAAGTCCGGATTCCGACTTCGAAGCAGAGTTTCGCTTCAGTATCGGAAGCTCAAGGACCTGGTCAGGTTGCAGAAGAAGCAGGGTGTCATCACAGAAGACCTGAGGAGGCGCATCAAGGACTTCGGAAAGGAACGCCCGCCACAAGAGATCAAGGCAGAGCGGGAAGAACAGAAAGTCCGCCACAAAGAGAAGCGCATCAGGTACGGACAGGTCAAGCAGGGTGAAACGGCTGATCCAGGCGGTGAGAAGGAAGAAGAGAGCCTGTCGGAAGAAGAGCCTTCCGTGAGATCGAAGAGCAGGAGCCGCAGTCTAGTGCGGCAGCCTCGAACTCCAGACGGGCCGCCACCGGCCCGCCGACCTCAGAGCCGCGATACAAGTCGTGGCCGGGCAGTTTGGGGTCGAGCTTTGGAACTCAATCTCCAAATCATCACCCTGGCCAATCAGCGAGCCCAGAATCAGCCGATCGAGAATTGGAAATTGGAAAGTCCAATCCAAGTGAGGAAGATTGCGGCTGACGAGTTGGTGGAGCAAAGGGGCTTGAAGGGATCCATTGCACTTGCCGCGATCAGGGAGCTTTGGAAGACTGCGAACGAGCAGGGCAAGCGAGGATCCGGTGAAGCTTGCAGCAGCTGCGACGAGCGCAAGAAAGCGCAGCTGCCTGCTGTCCAAGCCTACATCAAGGCAAGAGGACTGAAGGGCCCAGCAAGGCTTGGATCAAGTGCCAAGGCAAAAGTTGAGCCTAAGGCCTAAGGCAAAAGGACAGGCCAAAGCAAAGGCCAAGGCCGCACCTTCGATCGGCCGCAATCCAGAGGAGTTGACCTCTACGGGAACCCGGACCACATCAGAGGTCCGTGAGATCCCAAAGCCTCCTTCTGATCCTTCCCAAGGGTGAAAGCCCCTGGACCGGCCTGGTAAGGGGCCGGAGATCGGACGAATCGTCCGCAGCTGAAAAGGTGCGAGTGCAGCGCCTTTGGGGGTTTGGGAACGGGTTCAAGCCATGGCTTTAGAACAACAGATACAGCAGTTGTCTGATATGGTTTTGCAGCTTCAGCAAAACCAGGCACGTTTGGAACAGGAAAACCAGGTACTGAGAGAATCCCAAGGAGGGGTATCCATGTTGGCTTCTGCAGTGGGGGAACTGGCTAAGAGCCTTGAGAAAAAGGAGGATAGACGAACGTCCCAAATACTTATGGACACAAAGGGTTTGGGACGCCCTGAAAGTTTTGGGAATGTTGAAGGGGAATTCCGAAAGTGGGCTAGGAGCATAGACAACTTGTTTGTAACTACCTTTGGGAGAGAGTTCATTGAAATCCTTGAGTACATCTTGGAGCAGGAAGACACGATTGAAATGAGCCGCATGGAATCAGAGTTCGGGGCTGGTACTGTAGCAGACCTCGACGATCCATTTTGGTGATGACGGCCGATGGCGTGCGCAGAGGCACAGGAATCTGGCGGCTGAGTTCAGCCGACCGCTGGGGCCCAAGTGGTTGGGACCTTTTGCGGGGCTTACCGTGAACGTCTTGTGGTACCACCTCTTAAGGAGGAACGAGTGGCACCACCGCAACAGAGACGAGTGTACATCAGGAGAGAGGATGTGCGCAAGCACGGAGCCACAGAAGGCTGTCCAGGATGCAGGTGCATCTTGGAAGATAAGAGGACGACCTTGCCGCACACAGAGGCGTGCAGAGCAAGGATCACCGAAGCAATGGAAAAGGATGAAGCTGGGCAAGCGAGACTTGAAGCCCATGCAAAGAAGAGGAAAGAACGGCAACAGCTTGACACTGTGAAGCCGAAAGTCGTGGCCGACAAGGACACAGACATCACGGCCGAAGACGCGGCCGGAGAACCAGAGAAGAAAGAAGAAGCAAAGAGCGCAGGATCGGGAAGGCCAACTACTTACCGCGGAAGCCGCGGCAGGCCACAAACGACCGCGGAAGCCGCGGCAGGCCACAAACTAGCGCGGAAGCCGCGGCGGTGGGCCACAAACTAGCGCGGAAGCCGCGGCGGGCCACAAACTAGCGCGGAAGCCGCGGCGGGCCACAAACTACCGCGGAAGCCGCGGCGGGCAGGCCTTTTCGTATGTAGCCAAGGTCCGACATATACAGGTGGATGCCGGCTATCGTATCATAGGGGAGTGTTCATGGCACCATTGTCAACACCTCGAATGGTGCATCTAGCCAGCACAGTCATCAAAGATGAGACCTTGAAGCGCAATTCAGGTCTTGTCATTTCGTCAGCCGTCACAACGACAGTAAATGTGAAAAACAAGGGAAAACACCAAGTTCAGGAACCCGTGCGCTCGAAGTCACTGGGTGAACATGAAGGGGGAAAAGCGTGCAACGCAAACGCTTGTTTTGACGTGGCCTCATGTGGTGACTCAAGGGCCCTGTTTCGGGCGAGTTCGAACCAAGTGCCGACACGGTGGAAGCAAATGCCAAGGTTTGTGGCACAAAACTAACACCGGTGGTGCTCTGCAGCAAACAAAAGTCTCATCACGGACGAATGCTACCAGCACATTTCAAATATGGAATCATCAGGTCCCACCCGAGGAACCCGGCTGTGGTCGCCGCGACGTAGGCGTCACCCGGGAAACACAGAAACTGCACACCAACCATTCTTTCACATCATGTGACTGTTGTAGTGCACTGCATGTTGACTCCAGGTGATAGCACGTGCCTGTTCTTGTTGTAAAAACTCTCTGTGGGATGCCCCCGATGTTCGGGATGTAAGCTGCATGCTGTGCCACTTCTGCTAGCGATGTTTCCAGCTCACGGATCATCCGTTGTTGCTCATTCAACCTTTCTTCCATGTAGTCGTCTCGGTGGTTTCTCATCTCAATCTCTTCCTTGAGCTGTTGACATCTGGTCTCCAACAACTCCTTTTCATACCTCACTTGGTCCATGGCTTCATTTCCTCTTTTGATGAACTCTTTGTACTGCGCAATCCTTGCCTCATATCGATCTGCACTCTCCTGTCTTCTTGGAAATGCAGGTAGTGGTGGTTCATCAGTTTGTGCTTCAGCCTCGGTCGTCAACGGTGGTGGTGGTGGTGGTGGTAGGTCACGATGCTGTCGCCAACATGCTTGCAACCAACCAATGATCTGAAAAAGACCAATGCACAACAATGTAACCATCACCAACAATGCAAAATCCCAACCAATCGCATCCTGCTCTTCGTTCTGTGCCATTGCTGGCTTGAACTCATTTGGAATGATCATCATGGTCAGACTTTTCTTCACGCTGATTGCATTCCTTCTTGCATTGTCTTTCCTTTCCTGCACTGTCTTGCGCTTTGCTGCTTGAAATGTGCTGTCAGCTGAAAGCGAAATCTGGTGTGATCTCAAACGATCTGCCAACAACTGCCTTGCCTGTATCTTTGTGAGCCCGTCGGACAGCTGAACCTCCGATGACACCCACCTTAGCTGAGAGTCCAGGTCCTTCATCTTTTGTTTCACAATCATGCACTCGATTTGTGTGCGTTTGTCACCGCTGATCTGTGGAACTTCAGCTTTCACAGCGTCGTACAATGCCTTTGCATCAACGATCACTGCATTGGGGAGGAAATAGTCGCTGCTGCGCTGACATGTTCCAAACTGAAATCTGCTTTGTGACATGCCTGCCAAAAGATGTGGACATACTCGAGGGTGTCAACTGCTGCTGAACAAGATTGTGCTTCAGCGTTCAACGAACTGCGGGATACACGGGGCAACTTGAACGAACGCCAATCCAACACAACATATGGATGGTCAGGTTCTCCCTCGAGCACCTTGCGATGTGTAAGCAAAATGAAAAGCCCGCCGCCAACGGCGGCTGAAGGTGAGAAGACCTATCCCGATGACCCGAAAGAGAGATATGAGATGAAGAGACAAGCAGCCGAGATGGAGAAGAAGCCGGTGGCGAAAGCCAAGGTAGCAACAGAGCCCAAGAAGAGAACAGGGGAGCTTAGGATAGATCCACCCGGGGCAAAAGTCAAGCCGAATCCAGCCCAAGGAACAAAGAGGACGGCAGAGACTGCCGTAGAAGACCTTGATCCCAGGGTGGAAGAAAGTCCGAAGAAAACGGGGACGCTTTCTTATGTTCCAGAAACACCACCTGCAGGGTGGAAGCCAGATGCAGCAAGCTTGGTAAAAGAGAAGGAGATCGCGAAACAGCATCTGAGAAAGACCATTCAAGGAACCTATGAGGCAAATGGCATCGAGATCACTGAGCAAGAGATCAGAGACATCGCGCATTTGAGCGTGCAGATGTCAGCAGTAGATATCATGGAAATCCGGGCGCCGGCCACGGG